ACGATTTGCAGGGCAAGGTCTTTTGAATGCTGGAAGTTCTCAGTTATCCTCCTTATTCACTGTGGATTCATGATCCACAGAAAAATAAGAAACACGGAGCCCCATAGCCCAAGATGAGCAACACAGGCCAACAAAAGATTGGGAGACAAAGAAAAAGAAAAGAAGAGGAAGAGGAAGAGGCAGAGGCAGAAGAAGAAGGAGAAGAAGGAGAAGAAGAAGAAGAAGAAGAAGAAGAAGAAGAAGAAGAAGAAGAAGAAGAAGAAGAAGAAGAAGAAGAAGAAGAAGAAAAAGGAGGAGGAGGAGGGGGAGGAGGAGGAGGGGGAGGAGAAGGAGGGGGAGGAGAAAGAGGAGGGGAGGAGAAGGGAAGGAGGAGGAGAAGGAGGAGGAGAAGGAGAAGGAGAAGGAGAAGAAAAAGCACTGATGTGCATTAACCACATTCCTTTAAGAAGACTTCACTTACAAACACACACACACATTGTCACAAACACACAGAAATAAAACATTCACAACAGTACCACAGAAACACACAGCCCAGCAGTTCCTGAGTCTGTGAGATTCCACAAGAGGCACTACCTGGAAGAGAATATCCCCCAGTTACATAGGCATGCTGTAGCTAGTAATCATAGTGGGGCAGGTTACAAAAGACTCACCCCTACAAAGTCTAGGCATTCTCAGTTTATTCCTGGGGCTATGCTTGACGTTTCTGTAGGCTGGCTCATGTCTGCCCTCTCCTAAAATTATGAGACTATCCCATGGATCCCACAGAGAAGACAGTTGAGAGTCCACAACTGATGCATCTCCATGGAGGTCTCCTTCTCTGCCAAGTCACACGGATTTGTTGTTTGCAATGGTGACATTCATTGTGACGCCAGTCACAGTTCACAATCAAACCTGGTGCCCTGAAACTAGAGCATGCACATTCCTGAGTCTGACTCAAATGCCAGCTATCAGGATGCCTAAAGCAAAGAAAAATGGTACAAGCAGAAGTGGCCTGGTATTGGGAGAAAGTTGCCTGTGAAAACCCTCAGTGGGACCATAAAAGTCCCGACCTCATGGCCTCTTTGGCCATCTCCTTGGATGGTTCCCACTGGACGAGGAGGCGTTCCAAGACTATGAGTTGGTCGCTCAAAACTGCTCTTCTGACTTCATTCTGGAAAGAGACTCTGTGTAAAAATTGAGTCTCGTGGGGATTGGAATATAGTCTGGTGTGTTGTTGAGGATACTTTGAGTGTTAGAATCATACCTGAGACCCCAGAGGTGGGTGTCAATGAAAGATGTCTGGGATGTTGACCTCAATGCCTCCCTTTATCCAGGGCCTCACAGGTGCTCTCTTGGAAAGGCAGAAACCATGACAAAGGAAAGTCCAATGTGGAGCAGTGTTCTCACACATTGGACTGGCCTCTCACAGATGCAAATAAGATTGAGATAGTGTCTCTGAGGCTGTCTCTGGTGATGGCAAGAAAGAAAAGCATGTCCAGTAATGCTATCGAGGGGCACTGTGAATTCCCAATTAAATCAAAGAAACATCAAGGCTCACCTCAGAGAACAAACCATCTTGTGCTGGAGTCCAAACAATGTTCAATGATTCCTGTCAGAAGACCCAAAAGCCTTTTGCAAAGTCCAGACAAACTCAATTCTCACAAAGAGACAACAACCAACAAGTTGGAGTGCAGCCCTCCTAGCCAAAATCTTTTTTCTCTCTGAAATACCTGTCAGCTAAATAATCTGTTGTGAGAGGCAGTCCCATCCAGTAGCAGCCCACTGAAAGAATATCTCCACAATTAGAAGGCCACACAGATGAAATAAAACAGAGGCAAGATTACCAGGCAAAAGCTAGACACAACTGTGTGCTTTTCATCCTACAAGAATCATTCAGCCCTCCAAGAGAAGTGAAAGAAAAGAAGTATTTTCCCTTTGGTGTCTCTAATGGGAATTTACCTTTTTTTTCTTTCTTTTTTCTTTTTTTTTTTTTTTTTTTTTTTTTTTGAGATGGAGTCTCGCTTTGTAACCCAGGCTGGAGTGCAGTGGCATGATCTCTGCTCACTGCAAGCTCCACCTCCCAGGATCATGTCATTCTCCAGCCTCAGCCTCCTGAGTAGCTGGGACTACAGGCATCCACCACCATGCCCGACTCATTTTTTTTTAATATATATATTTTTAATAGACACGGGGTTTCACCGTATTAGCCAGGATGGTCTCCATATCCTGACCTTGTGATACACCCGCCTTGGCCTCCCAAAGTGCTGGGATTACAGGCATGAGCCACCGTGCCCAGCTATCAGAGCTACCCAGTCATTAAAATGTGAGAATATTTAGAAATATAGACTCACACAATGCTTTCCACTGAGAGTCACTCTCTTTGAATTGGGAAATACTTATTGTGAAAATCATTGAGGCACACCCAGGAAACCCTAGGCAGAGGAGGAACATGGAAATCAGGAAAAGAAGAGGCAAGTGTAGAGGCCACATCCCACACAGCACCAATCCATTCCGCTCCATTTCACTCCTGTTAGGAAAGCTCACAAATCGGGAGTTTGCCAGGATGGCCCCAATTTGCACTCCAAATATTACTTGTACATTGGTGTACTTCCACTGTAGCAGCATGAGCCACAGAAACAACCCTTCAGACACTGGGTTACAGAAGAAAGTGTCTTTATTCTGCCAGGAGTTTTTTTGGACTTGCATCTTAAAAACCGAGCTCCCAAAGAGAGAGATTCCTGCCCTTTTTAAAGGCTAAAAACTCTAAGTGGGTCCCTGTGAAAGGTTCATGAAAGATTGAGCAAGCATGGAGTATGCAGCTAAGACTGCATGCATTGGTAATCAGGACAGAACAAAACAGAACAAAAAGCTTCGTACTTTCTCATACAATGTCTGGAATCTATAGATAATACAAGAGGTTATATCAGGGGTTGATTTTTGACTTCCAGGCATGGGGTACAGTGACGGGCTGTCTGACTATTGATCTCATTTCTGCCTTTCTTTTGCTTTTGCTTACTCCTTCTTTTTCGGAGGTATGACACAATAAGAGAGGTGGTCTCCTTCCTTCTCCCCCGCTTTGAGGATCTCACTTAGTAATGGGAACTCTCCCTTTCATCCTCAGTACGTGGGTCTTCTTGAATCATTTTGGTGGATGAAGGCAGTAGCAAAGCTTCTCATTATTTGAAAGAGCAAAGATAGCAAGCTAGAGAGCAATAAGCCAGTTCCTATTACTATTATTATTATTATAAATGAGTTTAAAATCTTGTTAGCTCTGGAAACCATTTTCCAAACACTAATTGAGGATCAAACCTATGCCAAAACTGTACAGACTAATATTCCCTTGTTGTCATATTCCTGACCATATTTTTGACCTCTTACCCTTGATCATCTATATGCAGACAGCAATTGGCTAGGTTAAATTTTCCACAGACTGCTTCTTCAGCTGCTAGCTAGTAGTCTAGGGCTAATTTATTTTGATAGATAGCATTTGTCATTTAGGTTTACTGCCTGGCTAAAACAGTTAAAGCTCTGCTGGTTTTATTAGTGATTAATTCTAACACTGATTGCAACCGTATGATCCAACTGATCATTAAATGAGGATTTGGTATCCCCATGAGCCCTCTTGTGCCCAAGCAGCAGGCCCAGAGTACTGCATGATTCCTTCAGGGGCCAATCGTCATCTTTCCAATCCCCTACAGGTATGCTCCTTTTTTCTAGGGAAGCATAGACCAGGAAGTTCAGGAGTTTACCTGTTTTCCTGGGCAGTAGGAATAAAGATGGTTTAATTGTTCCAATAACACAACTACCTGCCCATTGATCAGGTTACTTGGTGTAGGCTGTATGCCCACATACCCAGTACAGTCCAGTGGGGGCATTAAAGTACCACTGAATCTCTGGATGGTTCCACATGGATTGCAACTTTGGAAATTTGCTAAACAGATTTTTCTCACTGTGATTTGAACTGCACCAGATATCTGGTTTCACTGTGCTGTTATACAGGTTTTGTCCAAGGCAGATGAGCCTTCCCACAGGGAGGGTGAAGTTCTTTCCTTCCTCCTGCAGTACTCCCCAGTAATTGAGGAACTTGAGACCCAGAATTTTCTAGTGTGGGTGTTCTGGACTAGAATCATATCAGGGACTGGATCAGTGGGCACTAACTCTCGGGTTTCCCAAGGCCTCTTTTCTCCCACAGTGATTCCCTCACATACGTAACAGGAAGTAGCATTGAGTGAATAGGCTTCATTTTCTGCTAACTGCAGGAACAAGGTCTTTGTCTTCCCTGGAAGCTCTGGTACTGTCACATTTAATTCAACATAGAAGGTCCAAAACACTGGTTCAGGAGAGCACATTTTGACATCTCCTAGGACTAAAATATTTACTCAAGGATCCGATCCAGCTCCATTGATTCCTAGAAGTACATGTTCTCCCCTTTTTCAATGGGAGTCTAGTGAATTGGTGATTATTATTTCTTTTTTTTTATTTATTTATTTATTTATTTATTTATTTATTATTATTATACTTTAAGTTGTAGGGTACATGTGCATAACGTGCAGGTTTGTTACATATGTATACTTGTGCCATGTTGCTGTGCTGCACCCATCAACTCGTCATTTACATCAGGTATAACTCCCAATGCAATCCCTCCCCCCTCCCCCCTCACCATGATAGGCCCCGGTGTGTGATGTTCCCCTTCCTGAGTCCGAGTGATCTCATTGTTCAGTTCCCACCTATGAGTGAGAACATGCGGTGTTTGGTTTTCTGTTCTTGTGATAGTTTGCTAAGAATGATGGATTCCAGCTGCATCCAAGTCCCTACAAAGGACTCAAACTCATCCTTTTTTATGGCTGCATAGTATTCCATGGTGTATATGTGCCACATTTTCTTAATCCAATCTGTCACTGATGGACATTTGGGTTGACAAATGGGATCTCATTAAACTAAAGAGCTTCTGCACAGCAAAAGACACTACCATCAGAGTGAACAGGAAACCTACAGAATGGGAGAAAATTTTTGCAATCTACTCATCTGACAAAGGGCTAATATCCAGAACCTACAAAGAACTCAAACAAATTTACAAGAAAAAAACAAACAACCCCATCAAAAAGTGGGCAAAGGACATGAACAGACATTTCTCAAAAGAAGACATTCATACAGCCAACAGACACATGAAAAAATGCTCATCATCACTGGCCATCAGAGAAATGCAAATCAAAACCACCATGAGATACCATCTCACACCAGTTAGAATGGCAATCATTAAAAAGTCAGGAAACAACAGGTGCTGGAGAGGATGTGGAGAAATAGGAACACTTTTACACTGTTGGTGGGATTGTAAACTAGTTCAACCATTATGGAAAACAGTATGGCGATTCCTCAAGGATCTAGAACTAGATGTACCATATGACCCAGCCATCCCATTACTGGGTATATACCCAAAGGATTACAAATTATGCTGCTATAAAGACACATGCACACGTATGTTTATTGCAGCACTATTCACAATAGCAAAGACTTGGAATCAACCCAAATGTCCATCGGTGATTATTATTTCTAAGGTGATTATTAGTTCTACTCAGTCTGAAATTTTCTGTGAAACTTTTCTGAGTGGCCACTGGTGCAAGAGAGGAATTGCTTTTCCTTTCTGAAGTCATGCTGGAACTTTTTCATTCCTTTTCCAAGTATCTCAAATGGTGAAAGACAAGTAATTACATACTTTATCACATAAGCTGAACTCATAGTAAATATACTTATTCTCTGCTGTATAACTTCTTTCCGAACGTAGAGAGTTACATCTTAATCCTTTTTGGTTACTATTAATGGCTGCCTACGCACCAAATTTTAAGGTTATGTGTTTGGGGGTTCCTTTTTCTTCTGTTTTGTCTATTATTTACTTTTATTACTATGAAAATTACCAGTTCTTAGTCTTACTTCAACTACTGTAATCATAGGAGGCTCAGAAGGGTTGCAACACACATCAGGTCAGTCATTTCCTGTGCTGCACACTTTATACTGAGTGAAATTATAAAGACAAGTTCTTTTTGAAGTTCCTAGGCATTAATAGTAACTGTATAACAGAAATATTCTTTTAACTTGTTTCCCTAGCTTGATGAAAACACTGGGAACAGTCCTCCATGGGGGGAAATCAGTCTTTATCATATGAGTCCAAATTTTAAAGAGAGTAAGTCCCATGATGTGTATCCTCATGTTTTGACCATGCGTAGACCAGTAAACTTCTGGGTGTGACTGGAGTAGGTCTTGCCATCTTTCTCAGTGTCACTTTCCAGAGATTGTCCAGTCTTGGTCTCTCCTTTCAGGTCTCAGGTGAGGTAGGTGGTATATGACTACGATGGATCCAGGCTGGGATTCCTTCTACTTTCACGGTGGTGGGAGTAGTCAAAATGATGGTCTGGGGTCCTTTCCACCGTGGTCGTATGTGGGCTACATTCAATCATCTGGGGAGAAGTGGTGAACTGGAGACAATAAGGTAATAGAGCACTTTTCATTTACCCAGGCTGAAATTTTAGTGTAAGTTTTCCTAGATCCAGTAACTGTTGCTCTAACTCAACTTCACCTCTTGATGAGCTCCTGGGAGTCCCCCCATATCACAGAGTTTGTCTGTAATATAATATTTCATAAGGGGGATATCCTGTTCTTTTTCAAGGGGTACATCTTTTCTTAAACAATATCATAGGGAGAGCCTGTAACTATTTTAATCTTGTTTCCCGTCACACTTTCCCTAAGCTATTTTTGACAGTCTGATTCATTCACTCCACCTTTCCAGGACTCTGAGGTCTGTAGTCTGCATGCAGTTTCCAGGTTATTCCTAATACCTTTGCTGTCTTCTGCATCAAATCAGCCACAAATGACAGCCCATTATCTGAGTCAAGTCATTAGAGCAGTCCATATCTATGAATAAGATCTGGAAGAAGCACATGGGTTACTATGTGAGTTTTACAGTTTGTGTTATATAAACCTCTACCCACCAAGAGTAGGTACACACAAGAACTAGTAAATACGTGTTATTTCCACACTTTGGCATTTCTGTGAAGTCCACCTGGAGATCTTCAAAGGGCCTGCTCCAAAATCTTTTATGCTGGGCAGAATGACTGAATCCTGCTTTGCATTGTGCAGTTGGCAGGTAATATATAGCTGTTCCACCGTTTTTGTAAGAGCTGACAAATGTGAGATGTACAACTACTGATCTAACAACTTTTCAAGTGATTCCTGACCTAGATGGGTACTTTCATGCACAGCCAGTACAACTGCGTCTCCTAGCAGCTATGGCACAGTTATTCTTTATCTGGTAACCAGATCCATCCCTCTTTTGATGTATGCCCTCTTTCTGCCTGAAAAAAAGTATTTCTCGTCTTTAGAATAAGTAGGTACAAGACCAGGTGCCTGAGGAAGCAGGGTGACTGAGACTGATGCCTGGTAGGGGGCGGAGGTGGCTCTTTGAGCCCCTGAGTTTGCACTGCAGTTCCCTAAAGCAACCATAGTAGAAGCTCATTGGTGTCCCTTGCAATGCATGACTGCCGCCTTCTGAGGTTTCCATACTGCTTGTAATAAATGAAAGATTTATTGCTAATGTTTTATGTCCTTTCCTCCAAAATTCAACAGACCCTTTTCTTTACATAATACTCCATGCATTTGGAGGTTTAAGAAGTCATACCGAGGGTCAGCAAAATATTTAGTGTTTCCTTTACCGAGTCCTAGGCCCAAATTAAAGAAATGAGCTCAGTTGTGTGGGCTCAAGTACCCTGGGGCAATTTTTTGGCCTCAATGACAGTGTCCAGGGTTACCACTACATATCGTGCATACCCCTGTCCTTGTGGTTTGACAAAGCTGCTCCTGTCCATGTACAGGTCCCAGTCCACTGATGCCCAAGTCTGCTTCTGCATGTCAGGTCTTGTAGTGTAAATTGAGTTCATCCTCTCTACACAGCTCAGCTGGCTTTCTGATACCGGGAGCAAGGTGGCAGGGCTCAGCTTGTTAGAAACTTCAATGATTATATGGGGATTTTCACAAAACAAACTTTGGTATTTGGTTAGTCTAGAATTCTTTAGTCAATGATGATCTTTGGTATTCATTAAAGTCACCACAGCATGGGAGTGTCTATGTTCAGGTTTTGTCCAAGAGTTAGTTTATCTGCTTCTTGTGCTAGCAGGGCTCTTGCTGATACGAACCTCAAACACAGGGCCCAAATTTTAGGAACCCCGCCTATTTGATTAGAGAGGTAAGACATTGGCCTTGGTCAGATGTTCATACTGCAAACTCAGACTATTTCTGAAGTTTTCTTCTAATGTCTTAATCGCTTTGACTAACAAAAGTCATGGTAATCACGCACTGATTTTCAGGGACTTCAGGATCAAAGGGAGTATAAACTAGATAGGCCTCATATAATCTTTCATAAAATTGTGTCTGACTTGTTTTTCTTCAATGACATCAGAGACTTTGTTGACATTTGCAGCCTTCTGAGCTCCCTTCTTTGTCCCTTCTAGGAGGGCTTTTCTATATTGCTTTAGCCTTTGTTTACCTTCCCCTCCATCTGGGTCCCACTGGGGGTCCATTCCTGGTAATTAGTTCATCACATACAACTGTGAGTTTTGTAATCAGCCAGAGCATGTTCCTCCAGCCAGTTAGTTATCACCTGGAACACCCTTCACTTTTCATCTGTGTTTAAGAGGTACATTAGAAACTGGTGGCAGTCGACCCAAACATTTTTGGGTGTCTAGATAATAGTTTGGAGCAAATCAATTAAAGCTCGAGGCTTTTCAGTATAAGATGGAGTATTGATTTTCCAGTTTAGGAGATCAGCAGAGGTAGAGTTGATACACAAAGGCATGCCTTTCCACCATATGCCTGTCCTCATCTACCCCAGTATACCACTGCTCCATCAGGGGAATTTTTATCCTAGTCTTAGGTCATAAGCAAGCCGCCAAGGGCAGGTTTTCTCCCGAGGCTTCACATCCTCTTTTGTCTACTTTTGGTGTCCTGGGGGTGGGTTTTTCCTGCAGAGCTGTAGGTGCTCTGCTCTTAGGAGTGGGGAGTCTTTTTTCTTGGTAAGAGAGGGCATTGCTTGTGCCATTTCCCGGCATGAGTCTTCTGATATTAGTTCAGACCAAAATTTAGGAGTCCACTTCCCTAAGTCGGTGGAGCAGAATCATTCCTTGGCTATCTGTCCCTTTGCCAATAACACTCTTGCTGCTGCCTGCCCTCTTAATCACTGTGGGAGTTCTAAAACCAGTTGTAAACAAGTGTCTATGTCCAGAAACTGGTCTGGTTGCCCTCACTTACTAATTATCTTGTGCCATACCTTCATAACCACGGACTTTTCTAGGCTTCCTTCTGATTGCCAACTCACTTTCAATGCTGGCTAGCCCATCTCACACAAAGTTCTACATTTCCCTGATGTCATAGTAATTCCATAGTCTCTTTTAAATCCCTTCTTGAATTTTTTCAACATAGTTCCTAGCAGGGTGGACTTTGTGTCTGACCCATTTTTCTCCTAAAACAAGGTAACACTGGCACTGCAAGAGGGCAAGTGTAAACATCACTCATTCATCTAATTCATACCAAATCAAGTAAATCAAACCAAGTCAAAATCAAAACCAAAACCAAAGTGCCATAAAGGCATGCCATAAATGATCAGGCCACACTTCCACTCAGAGGGCAAGTTCTCAAGACCAGTCTAACTGTGTTCCAGATATCTGGACTCCAAGAGCCAGTTCCTTTCTGGTGTTCAGCCACAGCGTCAAAACTCTGTGGGAGCCTACCATGCACTGCTCCAGTGAGGTGTTCCACTAGGTCAATTGCCTAGACAGGAGCACTCTCAGGATCCACATCACTCAAGCTGACCAAGGTCCTCTGCAAGCATGCTGTACAGAACAGATCTAAGTCACCTAAGGAGTTCCCTCAGCTGTCCACTAATCACCTCACATCCGGGTAGGGGGACCAAAATCTGTGGTACAATGAGCTGGGAACCAAACCCTTCCAACACCATGTTAAAGAAGGAAGTGATTTTATTCAACTGGGAGCC